ATAGATAGATAGATAGATAGATAGATAGATAGATAGATAGATAGATAGATAGATAGATAGATGATAGATAGACAGACACCGTATGAATGTTGGGTTTAATCCATAAAACTTAATCCATAAAATTAAGCATTAAAAAAGAATTATTTAAGATTGTGTGTGTGTGTGTGTGTGTGTGTGTGTGTGTGTGTGTGTATATACAGAAGCCTGATGATGGCAGATGAGATTCTGCTGGAACGTCGCTACAACTTTAAAAGCACAACTACTATGACGTGGGAAAATACCCAAAAAAGCCGAATGCCATACATACATACATACATACATACATACATACATACTTACATATATATATACGTATACCAGACCCACACCCATGAGAGCCACACAAGATGCCACCACCACACCTCCATGTAGAAAACAGATTCACACCCACTCAGAAGATGAGACACGACCATGGACCAGAAGCTGCACTGCAGCTGCATCACTACCCACTTCAAACCCCTCCGAGCCATACATGAAGCAAAGCGACACCCACTATGAAGATGCAGCACGACCACGAACTCGAAGCCAAACAGCAAGATCACAGCTCACCAACTCAAATCCCCCAGCAACTAAGACTAACCCGAGCACAACCAAGCCCCCACCTGAACAGAACACGCCTCCAACCAATCAGAACACGGCCAACCCCCCAACCAATCAGAACACAGCCAAAACCCCTACCAATGAGAACACACCCCCACCCAATCAGAACACAGCCAAGCCCCCACCCAATCAAATCCCACCCCCACTAGCAGTTAAAAGGAAAAAGCAGCTGCAATCTCACATCACTCTGAGAAGCACAGAGCCGGAGACAGAAGCCTGAAGATGATGAATGAGACTTCATCGAAACGTTGCCTAGATACTTCGAATCTTACGCGGGAGAAAACCCGAACAACCAAAGATCCATATATATATAAATATATATATTGTGTATGTGTGTACATAAACACACACACACACACATACGTATTATAAAATTTCAAAAGATGGAGAGTCCCATGGTTAGCCGTTGTTAATACAGGTGGCTGTGTGGGCCCAGTGTCCTCCACGCAAGGCTACACAGCCATATTTTGAATTCTTTGAGGAAGTCCAAGGTATTGGTTGGATTTCCTCAGCTCTGAGGGCAAGATGTTCCTCAGTGCAGGGGCAGCAGCAGAGAAGGCCGTCTTCCTGGACTCTGCCCATCATAAATTGTTTGACTCACGGGGTCTTCTATCATGCCTTCCCTGCCTGAACAATGTGATGGGAGAGAAGCTCCATTTGCCACAGAGTTATACAGGTGGCTGGTATAAAGACAATAAATCATAAACCATCAAAAAGAGGAGGAAAGAGTCATCCTTGGGGTTTTTATTTTGACACACTGAAAAAAGGCAAATTTTAAAGAACAGGTGAAACTTTACACTTTCTCTTTTCAATGCTTCTGTAGGTTTCCAACTTTGCAGAGTAAGAGTACTTAGGCACCATACTTTGCAATGTAACCCTACCCATTCTAGATTTTTTTTCCAGTGCTGATTTCAAACTGTTTTGTGATCTTCCATGCCAACTGCTTCATAAGTGTTTGAAAAAGAGCAGCATATGTATCTTTTTAAATAATCACATAACAGCTGATCAAAAATGTAACAATCACATTAAAGGAAGCCATAAAAGTCTGTCTCTTGGTAAAAGAGATGTCTGAGCAAGATAACTAAAGATTTTGCTAGAGAGACTGAGAGAGAGGGGTGCATATTCGTAGGATGGTGCTTTATCCCATTCTTTGACAAGTTATCACAGAAAAGGTGCCCCTAGCTTCTCTAGTATGCCCTCTCTTAGCCCAAGGAGGTCTCATTCTGGACACAAGACTTGGATAAAAGGTTCTGATAGGTAGGAGATGGGTGCAGGTTTCAAACAACCTTGGTTCTCTGCCAAAATAAAGCATCTGGTCTGCTTGCTGCTCTCTGGGATTGGTTGTTTTGCTTTGCAAACATTTCAGTACCTGAGTACTTAACAGGACCCGTGCTCCAATGATGTTACCTAGTCAATCATAAATCACCTTCAAGCAAGCAACCATTCTCAGAGACCACCAAGGACTTCATCGTTCAACCCTGAGCTACATATATTCTCTTCTAAGATAAAGCATGTTGCTCTTTCAACAATTGGGTTCCCTTTTGGTATGAATCTTGCTGTCAAAGACAATGGCAATTGATATTCTACAAATACAAATATTCTACAATATTCTACAAACCTACCCACATAGTCACAATCTTGTTACTCCTTTCTCCCCCCTCACCCTTAACAAACTGTATTTATCTATAATTCAGAATGTGCCAACATCCAGCATAAATACGATAGCTGGTATGTAAATGCTAACTAGCTTCTCACCACTTAGTTCTTTTTTCCCCTTCTTTAAAGCAGATTGAGTAACCAATAATTGCTCACAGCTGACAAGCAGACTCACACAGAAAGAGGGAGGGAGAGAAAGGGAGGGAGGGGAAAAAAAAGAAAGAGGAGTCAACAGAAAAAAATGTTGACAACTGTCAGAAGTGCCCTTTCTTGTGCTGAAATACGGTAACCAGCAAGAGATTACGGTAAATCACAACAGGGACCGTAGTGCTGCCTGCATCAGCTCCTACAGCGCAGTAAAGTTACTGCTTCTCCTTGACAGTCAAGCAGGGGAGCATTATTCACCCAGAAAGAGGGAGGTATCATAAAACCAGCACTCAGCCACCCTTAGTCATTGGGACAGACGGGATTCATGCAATTGTGAGTCATCAAAAGATACCACTGGGAGGGGAGGTGGGGAATGCTGATTTATTTTTGATTTATTTATTTCATTATTGTTATTTGCAAGTAAAGTGTCCCACTGTGCCATTCGGATGACTGCCTATGATTCGTTCCCTTTCAGCCAGCCTGCAACAGGAGGGTTTCGGGAGCTTCAAGGAGGTAAGTGAAGGGAGATCTTTGATATCTATGCAAAAGAAGTCCTTAGCTAAAGATGATATACCTGCCTATTTTCCTTCCTTTTTCTTTCCTTCCTTCCTTCCTTCCCTCTTTCTTTTCCCTTCTTTCCTTCCTTCCTTCCTTCCCTTCTTCCTTCCTTCTTCCTTCCAAGTAAGGTTGACAAGGTTGACAATATTTTTTATTCCCTGTTTGGGATATGCCTCCATCCTACGTTTTGTGGACTTCTCATATTTATTTAATTCCCCAAGTCCACAACAATCAACAGGGAAGAAGTGATGAAAGGAAAATTGACTAGAAATGTATTGTGATGTTTTTATTTGCATGTCTGCTTACTAATATTCACCAGCTCCTAACATTTTTATACTGGGTCGCATTCCCCCAAGACCTATTTTTGGTGATGTTGGGGCGACATTTAATGTTTCAATTACCAATTGGCTATGAAATGTTCTCTTATTAAAGGTATGTCTGGATTTTCACCTATTTTCTCCATTGCAATATAACCATCGTCAGCTTTTTAAAGAAAGAATACCTTTTTTTAAAAAAAAAAAGGGAAGAAAAATGGCTGGATGAAGTTTTTTGTTTAAAAAAAATACACATTTAAAATCAAATGATCTTCTATTAATTATTAGTTCAATTATCATTTATTATCTTGGGGCTATCCAGCAAAGTTTCTATTTGCAGGAAGAGTGTGTCCTATTAAAGACAAGGAGATTGCTTTTTTTACTGCATGGAGTATTTATGAGATGGATAGATTGTTGTCCTTAGTTGACCAAGCTTCTGCCCACAAACATGGATAACAGTTGTAAACAGTGGGTCCAAAAGGCCAGAAAATGCAAGGCACCCAATAATCTGTACTCTATACTATTTGTATGCAAAATCCACTTGCATCCAGAGAGATAAGTGCAATGACCCTTCAAGTTAGAAACAATTGGCAATAACACAATGTTCTGAGCTTTGCTGTTAGTTTGACCCATGCTGTAGGAAAGAAACCCCCAAGCCCTAAAGGAACAAAATCTCAGTTTAAAATATAATTTTTAAAACAGCACCACTGTGATTTGTGTGTATGCATGTTGTCATAAGAAAGTTCCAACAGGAAACAGACAACAACACAAGCAATAATTCTTACTTTAAGATCAGAGAGGTTTATTGTTTCTAATAATTTGAAACATAAGAAATGAATAGATATAAAAGATATAATACCAGTAATACACTTACATAAATAAGCCACTGCAATGGGATCTAATGACATGTATCAGGTCCAGCAAGGACTGCCGAGCTGATCTCTAACCCTATCCTTTATACTTTTCTTCTGATCACATACATGCTTCACAACTTCACTGTCACTTTCTGTAAACACCTATGTATATTACTTTCAGTTCCTCATTTTCAACAGTTTCATTCTTCTTGTTTTAAACGTATCCATCCAAGTTCATACTTTGCAAAAATATGTTCCACAGTTAGCAATGGCTCAGCGGGATTACAAATAGTTCTGATACATTTTGAAACCATCCTAGCTGAAAACTTTCTTCTGGGGCCTGCTATCATCCATAGGACGTACTGAATCTAATAGATCAATAAGCTATTTTTTTGATTCCCACAGTGTGTATTTGTACTCTACTTGAGGGAGACTTGGTTAAACCCATGCACAATTTCATTCCGCCCCCCCCCCCCGCCCCTCCGCTTTTATTAGTCTTATAGAAAATAATTCCTATAAGAGTTGTATGATGTTATTGTATTTGCTATTCTTAATTGGAAACAGCCCTTTGGAGAAATAGTAGATCAGGAATACAAAACATGTTTTGTGTCCTGGATGCAGTTTTTGGACTGTCCAGATGTAGCTGGAAGGACACTTGCTGTTGTTCTGGATGCCAATGCCATGCTAATAATCCAGGGTCTAGAATAGTCCTATGCCTTTTGCTTTTCTAGAACACACTTATTCAGCCTCCTTTGCATTGCCAATTGTTTTTGTTCTCTGCCTAATAAATTTGGGGTTGACACCTTCTTGTTGATGGACTCATCGGTGGACCTTAAACTTTTTGTAGCTTCTGGAATTTCCCCAGATTACTGCGCTGAAATTTGGCAGCAAACCAATTCAATTACCTTGGTATGATTTCCAACTGTGTTCTTTTTTTTCTGGGAAATAAAAATAAATCCATAATAAGCTTAACACACCTATTAAGAATTAACTCCCCAAAATCACAACCCATAAACCAGAGTTTCAAAATGTCAGTCCTGATGTCTCTGATGGCATCAGCTTCAGACTCCAGAAGACTCGACAGCCAAAAAAATAATATAATAAACTATCATGTAACAAATTTAATCTAATGATAAGAATGTTATTTCCTCCCATCAGCCAAAACATGGTTGCCCGTCTCTAAAATAAAAGGTAGAGAAAGAACCTAGTGACTTCCAGGAGCTCTTAATCTATAATTCCCAACACCTCTAACCATTCTGACTAGCCTTAATGGAACTTGGAATTCAACAAAATCTGGAATCCTAAAGAAAGATTAGCCAAACCCAAGATAAAGAAACTGAGACTAAGAAAAACTCTGAGAATCTGTGAAGGAAAGGGATATTTCATGGTTACACAATGGGATGAGTGCTTGGGGTTAGCATGGTGGGAAGGGAGGGAAATTTTAAAATCTATGGAAACTAAATGAATAAATTATGCAACTAACTCCTGTGCTTGCTTATTTGGAGCACCCAAAACTGAGTCTGTGGAGACATATGATCTGTCCTCTGTAGAGAGAAATGCATGTACTGATTTCATCAAGGATACATTTCCTATTGTGGTCTAATGTACAAGCCTAATTGGGACACCAGGAATGACATGCTGTTGCTTGCTTGAAAACAAGAAATTTCTATCCTATCCTATCCTATCCTATCCCATTCTATTCTATTATATGAATGCCCAGCATTCTAATCTTGAAACATGAGAAGCTTGATGTTGTCAAATCAGACATACGGTCCAATAGTGTTTCTTCTTCACTTTCAGAAGTTTTAGATAAGCAACTGGTCTTTATAGTCATTGTTATTTGTGCCTTTTAATTAGAGATTCCCAAATCTGGCCCTGTGATCTCCTGCATGTGTATTACAATAGACATCATCTATGCTGAAGGTATTTTTTAACTGAGCCCAGAGCTAAATTCAGGTAATTTCAAATGGATGATTCCCTGATACCAATCAATCTGTTTTGATCAGACCAAATAAAAACTAGGCTGCAAGGAGAATTCCATAGATAATATGCATCAAAACTTCAGCCATGCATCTCAGAGCGCAAGCAGAGCTTTCTCGGTTATTCTTTCAAGTTAACGTAAGGCTCATTTATAATGTACAGCAGGAAGAGGAAGAGAAACCACTGCAACATCAGTTCTTTTATGTTGCAAACTACCGTGAGGCCAGCATGGAAATGTCCACCATTTCTTCTTAACACAAAGCTGCAGACTGTTTTGTTTGCACCAGAGTTAACTGAGAAGACACGCATAGACCTGCTTGCTCTAAAAGACCCAATGTTATCTTTTTTTCCCTGAGGGAGGCTGCAGGGTAATCAATGGCCAATTTGTCAGAGAGCAACATATTTATTGCCCAGGATTCAGAGTTGTGGTTTGGTTAAAAAAAAAACATAAGAAGCAATCAGATTGAGGAGCATCAACTGATGAGCAAGCAGTGTTGCAGTCAACAACAGTCTGTATGCAGGGGTGAGATTCTACCAGTTCGCACCTATTCTCTAGAACCGGTTGTTAACATTCTAAGCAGTTCAGAGAACTGGTTGTTAGAAGAAATTACTGGCCTAATCCTGTAAGGAAGACAGGAAGGAAACATTCTGGTGTTGCTTACAGAAACTGCCTCTCCGTTAACCCTTATTACATTCTTAGCACGACTAGACTTCCTGTCTCAGGAACATCTCTGGAGTTTTTTTCCCCTCCTTTGCTGGTACTTTGCTTGTGTGGAGTGACCATTCAAAGTTACAATGGCATTGAAAAAAGTGACTTATGACTTATGCGTGCCTCGATGTGAATGATATTACGCCCAGCCAGTAACATGACCACCAAGCCATGTCCACCCAGTCACATGACCACCAAGCCACGCCCACCAACTAAGCCATGCCCACAGAACCAGTTGTTAAAAAATTTGAATCCCACCCCGTCTGTATGCAATGATAAAAACTCAGTAAAGTTTGATTCCTAATTTTGGGGAAATGTTACCATTGGATATTTGCCCAACAAGAAGCCTGGCATTTGAAATGTGTTTTCTCCTTTTGACTTCTTTAGGAAACAGCTCATCTGTCAAGCAGAAGAGTACAGATAACCATCTCCTCCGCATTCCTAGCAGGCCCATAAGCACTGTTTGTTAAAAGGATTATATGCTGGGTCAAGGTGTCACACCTTTACACTTATTACAGCTTCTTCGGCAACTTGGAATCATAAAGTTAGTCATGGATGAAAAGACTAAACATTGAGAAGTGTCAGCCAGAGTGACAGACAGCAATCTTCTTTCACCTGGGAAGATTTTTCAAAGTCAAATATGAAGAGGACATAACAAAGAGCAAAGAATACTCTGCTGTTATTTGTGCTGCATCTTTCCATGAAGAACTTTTAAAGAGTCTGGAAGTTGATGGCCTTTCTACAACTGCAATTTTCCTTGTTTTGTAACAAAAAGCATCTGGCTCTATGGGTATTATTTTAAAAACTAAACAGCAACTAAGAAAGAGCTCTTTAGCTCAGTGTTTAATATGGTTTCAAACACCCAGCAAGGTATGGTAAACTTCAAAGAGACTTCCATTATAATTGCTTTGGAATTATTTATGGGACAAGAAAGGCCTATGTTTTTCTTCAGAGCAAATGCAAGAGAAGAAATGCGGATTTTCAAATATGTTCATTCGTCTCGGGTTTTGCTTTCTCCTCTGCATTTATAAAGCCAGACTAATATTTCCAATTAGTTTCTATATCTACAATGTGGAAATAAACAGTATCAAATATTTGCTCTTGGCTCTTTCAAAGAAAGGGCAAGGAGAATCACAAGCACACTGGATGAACATTAACCAGCTTTGATAATGGGACTGACCTCTGAGAACATCTCTGACTGCTTCAACTGCACCCAGACTGTGGAGCAAGTAAATATTTCCAAGGCCATATTATTAGGAATCATCTTTGGAGGGCTGATTGTTTTTGGGGTCCTGGGCAACATTGTGGTGATCCTTTCAGTAGCTTGTCACAAACATCTGCAAAGTGTAACCCATTACTACATTATCAACTTGGCTGTGGCTGATCTCCTCTTGACTTCTACTGTTCTCCCCTTTTCTGCTATTTTGGACATCCTGGGCTACTGGGCTTTTGGAAGGATCTTCTGCAACCTCTGGGCAGCTGTTGATGTTCTGTGCTGCACAGCTTCCATCATGAGTCTTTGTGTCATCTCTATAGACCGATATATTGGAGTGAGCTACCCACTGAGATACCCAGCCATAGTGACCGAAAAAAGAGGCCTCTTGGCTCTGTTGTGTGTGTGGACATTATCACTTGTGATATCCATAGCTCCCCTCTTTGGCTGGAGACAACCAGCTCCAGAAGATGAAAAAAACTGCCAGATCAACACTGACCCAAGTTACGTCTTATTTTCTTCTCTTGGGTCCTTTTATCTCCCCCTGATCATCATACTGGTGATGTATTGCCGGGTATACGTGGTAGCCAGAAGGGAAAGTAAAGGATTGTCATGTGGTCTTAAGACTGAGAAGTCCCATTCAGAAGAAGTGACTCTCCGCATCCACCGCAAGAACAACACTGAAGCTGCAGGAACTACCTCTACCACCAAGCAGAAGTCCAATTTTTCTGTAAGGCTTCTAAAGTTCTCTCGGGAGAAGAAAGCAGCCAAAAGCTTGGGAATAGTTGTGGGATGTTTCATCCTGTGTTGGCTTCCTTTCTTTTTAATCATGCCAATTGGTAAGTAAAATATAAATACGCTGGTCAATGAGAATGTGGGGTTGTGGGATGTGGATACTTCTTTGAATAACTGAGATTCTAGATGGGTTCTTCATCTGATGTAAATGAGGAATGTCTCTCTGGCTTGAGTCATATATACCCGGTAGTGATCAAATAATTTATGGGATATGAGTGATGTTATTTTTATACTCCTGTGTCCTTTTTCTCTACTGCTGAGGATGTACATATACAGAGTTAACCAACTAGGTGATGACTGGTACTGGCTAAAAGAAGATGGGATTTTTGCACTGGCCATAGGGATCTAGATAAGGCAAAGGATGATTCTTGTTTTTGATAAGAAATTCAGATGTCACATCCTGTTGGCGTCATAATGAAAACAGGAGATGATCAAACAAATCACTGGGCATCATTCAGTGAAATCTTCATATTTGTGGGATTTACTTTTTAAAATTAGGATATTGAGCCCAATCATTTAGAACCTGTAAGGATATATATGGTCTTAATTAAAAACAGAATGCCTCTGAGAACATAATCAGGCTAGGAATTTGTGATCCCTACACCAGAGCCAAGCTCACAATTCCTTTTATCCAAAACATCTCCCCTTGCTTCTCCTCAAACATTTTTTATTATTTTCAGCAATATAGTTTATAGACAATGATAAAAAAAATCATCTGTTTTGATAGTTAAATAAGTGGCAAGAGTTTTTGACTTCTAGTCTTCTGCAGGTCACCCAAACTTCTATCTCCAGAACTATCTCCACATCTGTTTGGGGTTAATCTTTCACAAAGTCCAGATTACATTTGGGTAAACATACACAGAACCAACATTCAAAAGATTTATTCTCGAAACAGAGCTTTGGATTGCATTGAACCTGTCTTACTGTCATTTGTAAGAAATTATCTTTTCTGTGATTTTCAAAAAGTGTATCTTTCTATCAAATGTATGAAACCTATTTATGAGGGTTTATTATAATTATTTTAGCACCTGTTGCTAGAGGAAATTGTATCCAATCCAACACAACATTAGCTAAGGGGAGACATCTTCTATTCTTCTCTTATGTATGTTGGTATATCTACAGTATATATACTGTATATATGAAATAGAGCAAAATGATCTGGAAACAGTTCAAGTCCTGCTTTCAATCAATGTCATTCCCAACTTAGAAGAAAGAATGTTGATATTTGTTTTAAATGCTGGATATGATAATATTGAGGTGTCCTACTTGATCTGCAAACAGCTCAAGTGCCTTCCATAAATTAGAGTAGAGGACATCAAACTTGGTAGCTTTAAGACTCGTGGACATCAACTCTCAGAATTTCTCAGCCATTCATGCTGGGTGGGGAATTCTGGGAATTGAGTCCACAAGTTTTAAAGTTGACAAGTTTTAAGTTTGGAGACCCCTGACTTAGACATTTCAATGGCAATCATACCTCTTCCTCAAAGAAAAAAAAATATTCCAGTTGCCTTTTGAACAAAAAAGCACTTTTGAGCTAACACTTGTGTTTTAATTTTTCCTAATCAAAACTCTGAAAATTATTATTTTTCTCTTTTAATCACTTATTATACAGACCTATATAATATAGATTTCTACAAAGCAAAAAAAAATGGCCAAGAGCTGCATACAACAATTCTTCCTATTTTGGAAATACTTTGAATGAAACATCTTTTACAAATTTTGGATATTGAATTAGTTCTAGTTCAAATTAGTTTAGAGCTTTAAAATTGCCAGCATGTTAAATCCTGAGGTGTGGTCAAGCATGCCCAGAAGGGGTGAATGGATTAAGCAGTTTTTAAATGCTGGCATCTTATCTGGGAAGTACAAATGCCAAGAGTGATTTAACGAAGTTCATCAGATGCAGACTGATTCAATTAATTTAAAAGAGAGGTTAATCTACTTTTGCTTAACTTTATTAAAAACATTGTACCTAGTTTGGGGTTGAAATACGAGAGATGGTAATAACTGAAGGGAATACTTTTAGGAGAAAGGATTAGCTGGAATGGCAGGATTTCATTTAATACAAACAGTGAGTTTTGTAATCCATTTTATTGTTTTATTACAGATAGCAAACTTGGTTTGGAAAAAGTCAGGCTTTGATAAAAATGCTAAATTCTCTTTCATCTATCCTTCATTTGTTTCAAGGATTTGTGTTCAACAAAATTCACTATCTTAGTAATTAAAATGTTATTTAACTTCAGGTATGTCCTTTAATTATTAATTCCATTTATTCTTTTCAAGGGACAAAATGAATTTTCAGGATCATTCTTTTTTTAATTAATATTTAATTGTTCAGCAACCTCAGGAAATGCCTTTTTGTAGATTATCTGTTCACCAGTGGTTTTTGTATCAATGTTTTACTTAAACACCTTTGAAAAGCCTGTAAATGTATTTTTGCAATTGTATTTTTTGTATTTTTTTTTTCTTCCTACAAAATCAATTAACTTATCTTAAAAATCTTCCTTTATGTACACATCATCAAACAGTGAAATTATTAAACCCAAAGAGTGGCAGTTTAATAATCACAATTTGGGATTGTGTGAACAGCTGGTAGAAATAAATGTTATGATTAGTATGAGTATTAGAAACAATTGAGTGCTCAGTTTATTTATTTTCTTCTTTTAAAATGATTGTTTATCCATCATAAAAAGCAAATAACAAATAAAAGTTAATGATTAAGAAATACTGCCAAAAATAAAAACATAGTAACATGGAAAGTTTGTTCTTTAAAGTGATAGCAATAGCACTTAGACTTATATACTGCTTCATAGTGCTTTACAGCCCTCTCTAAGCAGTTTACAGAGTCAGCATATTGCCCCCAACAATTTGGGTCCTCATTTTTCCCACCTTGGAAGGATAGAAGGCTGAATCAACCTTGAGCCTGGTGAGATTTGAACTGCCAGATTGCAGTCAGTCAGCAGAAGTAGCCTGCAGTACTGCATTATAACCACGGTGCCATCATGGCTCATGTTTAAATTATTATTATTTAATTAAATTGATTTGATGCCCATCTCATTAAAAGATGACTCTTATGTTCTTATGTTTAATAAGATGTGCTTGCTAGTAAATTTACAATTGTTGTGTTAGCAGCCCTCTTATACATTTACTTCTAAAAAGTAATTGCAATATTTATAGTTACTAAATTGATAGGAATCCACTGTTAATGTATTTATTGATGACTTTTCGATTTGGCTGAAGTCTTAAAGACGTTGACTAAATCTGCTTTCATGTTCTGCTTTTGAATTTGGCATCACATATATATCTACCCTATAGTTTGTTATTAAACAAATTGTGTTGAAGTAAAGCATCACTATGTCCAGCCTTGGAGTTCATTTCAGTGGTGCTCATGTTAGAGATGTTTAATCAAGAAGTGAACAATACCCAAATCAAAGAACTGCCTAGTAAAACCACCCTATCACATCAAAACCACTTCCACCACCACTAACAGAACAAGCCAATAAAATATAAACAGAGAGCAAAGCCCACTCCCGTAGTAGCACTAGTGATATTACATAGGTTGTGTAATGAAATATTTGCAAGAAAACAAGCAAGCTCAGAGAGCATCAAGGAACACTCATGTCCCTGAGCTACAAATATTCTCCTTTATTGAGATGTTTCTATATATAGATAGTCCTTCACTTACAACCATTTGTTTAGCAATTGCTTAACGGTACAACAGCACTGGGGGGTGGGGGAAGTGACTAACAACAGGTTCTTGCACTTACACCATCCCCATGGTCACATAATCAAAATTCAGGCAACTGGCAACCAACATATATTTATGAAGGTTGCAACATCCTGGAATCATGTGATCACCATTTGTGGCCTTCGCAGCCGGCTTCCGACAAGCAAGGTTAATGGGAAAAGCTGTATTTGCTTAACAACCATGTGATTCCCTTAACCACTGAGATGATTTGTTTAACAAGCATGGCACAAAGGTTGTAAAATCAGATGTGACTCACATCACAATGCTCCCAATTTTGATCATAAGTCAAAGACTGCCTGTAGTTTCTTTCCAGTGAACCAGGTTAACTAACTGGACAGGTTGATGAGCCACGATGGCACAGTGGTTAGAAAGCAGTACTGAAGGCTATATCTGCTGACTGCCAGCTGCCTACAATTTGGCAGTTCAAATCCCACCAGGTTGACTCAGCCTTCCATCCTTCTGAGGTGGGTAAAATGAGGACCCAGATTGTTGGGGGCAAGAGGCTGACTCTGTAAACCACTTAGAGAGAACTACAAAGCCCTGTGAAGTGGTATATAAGTCTAAGTGCTATTGCTATTGAATAAAATAAGTAGAAGATAACCATTATCCAGAGTTTTCCATAACTTAATCTTGACATGGGACTCTCTTCTTTTGGTAAGAAAGCTAGCCTTCAATTTCGATTTTTTTTTTCTTTCAAATTCTAGGAAGGTTCCAGAGAGACTACATATAAACCATGCAGTTCAAGAGCCATAATTAAATTTCACTCTCCCTTTAGAGCAATCAGTGAAGTCTGGCAAATGTCCTGAGGGTAACATAGCTAAGTTTCAACAAAGGGAAGTCATCACACAGCTAATTCTGTGGGCCCTAGCTGGCATTATATTGGAATGTGGTTGCCAAGAAATCATAAGCATATGCAAAAAAAAAAAAAAGATTAGAGACATAGTGTTCCCTTTCCCCCTCTGTGAATAGGGCACCTGAGTAAAAGTCTTGCTGTTCAAGTTCTTAAGTGAAATGCTTCTCATTTTGAAATTTAAACCCTCATAACTAGGAGCCCTTATAAGGACAGTTGCCTACAGAATTTCTATCTTTGCATCATCCACATTACTTTAGAATCACATTGTTTGTCTTTCTTCTCAAATCGGGCCCTTAACAAAGGCCATGGAGAAAGTGTCTCTCATTAGAAACTACTGCTGATCCGATTGAGACACAAATTACAGTAATTGCAAGATTCCTGTAAGGAGATCTGGTAGGCTTCTCCGTAAGTAAAATTCAAAGTTATTTACAAGGGAGATAAATATG